TATATAATATATATATATATATATATATATATATATATATATATATATATATATATATATATATATATATATATATATATTTATATATATATATATATATAGATATATATATACGTCGAGACCGTCTGATTGACTGTTCCGCGGTTGATCTAATCTCATCTGCTGATGTCATAGTATCGTTATTAGTAGGACATTTACGTGTTGTTTTAAGTTGTAAGTAAATAGTGGGAATATCAACGTGTCGGTTAATTGTATTACCGTCTATACTGTACCGTGCCTCTTTAAATTCACGTGCTTGTTTTATTTGTGCTCATCCTAATAGTTTGGACGAGAACCAGCAATGAGATCAGATCAACCGCGGAACAGCCAATCAGACAGTCTCGACGTATACAAGAACGTAACAACACCGCAAAACTTTAAATAATGTACATATGTAATATGATTAATCTCAGTATTCTGAAGAAGGCTCGAAGTACCGAGTACAAAGCTCCGAATAAAAGTATATATTTCAATCCGGAGAACTTACATTATATATATATATATATATATATATATATATATATATATATATATATATATATATATATATATATATATATATATATATATATATATATATATATATATATATATATATATATATATATATATATAAAGATGAAAATGTTCTAGAGTGTGTATTATATAATTTCCATATACCCAGCGGAAGCAGAAAGATGTTGTCTGCCGCGGCTGGGTCTTGAACCCGCGACCTTCGAATTACTAGATCGACGCTCTACCAACTGATTTATAATTTCATAAATTCATAATTTCCAGTCTGACCGTGTAGCTCAGTTGGTAGAGCGTCGATCTAGTAATTCGAAGGTCGCGGGTTCAAGACCCAGCCGCGGCAGACAACATCTTTCTGCTTGCGCTGGGTGTGGAAATTATATAATACACACTCTAGAACATTTTCATCTTAACATATTACAGAGTGTACAATTACACAACTAACATAACACTTGCAGAACTAGTATTGTTCGATGTTGAATTAATATAAACGAGTATGTTTACGACATTCAGTATATATTTCATATTTTCCAGTCTTAAATCCGTCTGACCGTGTAGCTCAGTTGGTAGAGCGTCGATCTAGTAATTCGAAGGTCGCGGGTTCAAGACCCAGCCGCGGCAGACAACATCTTTCTGCTTGCGCTGGGTGTGGAAATTATATAATACACACTCTAGAACATTTTCATCTTAACATATTACAGAGTGTACAATTACACAATTAACATAACACTTGCAGAACTAGTATTGTTCGATGCTGAATTAATATAAACGAGTATGTTTATGACATTCAGTATATATTTCATAATTTCCAGTCTTAAATCCGTCTGACCGTGTAGATCAAGTTAGATCAGTTGGTAGAGCGTCGATCTAGTAATTCGAGGTCGCGGGTTCAAGACCCAACCGCGGCAGACAACATCTTTCTGCTTGCGCTGGGTATGGAAATTATATAGTACACACTCTAGAACATGACAAATGCCAGTACTCTGCTCAGCCGACAAGACTTCATATGTGACAAACAGAACAGCTATATTTGAAGAAGTTTATTAAAAAAAAGGTATATTAGATACAAAAACTAAATTTTCGGCTGCATGCCATGCACAGCCTTCTTCAGAGTGCCTAGCTTAACACAGAACATACTTATATACAATAAATTATGAATAAATTAATATTGTTGGGCGAAATCATGACTACCTTTAAGGTAATTGCGCAGTAATTGTTCCCGAAATGAGAATGTGCTGAAACTTCCCAGGCATGGAGTTTATGATATACTTAAAGTAAAATCACACAAAAAAATCGGGGTCACCGAACTCGTTAAGAAGATATGACAATCACAATATACCACATTTACCCCAATATGGTGCCATCTTGACGCTCATTACGAGTAACAGCAAACTCACAACAGCCCGGTATTTATTGACGTTTTTAGCTCGGATTTTGCTTTAGTAAACCTATCTTGTAATTATTTTTGAAAAAATATTGTGTTTTGAGAAAAATGAAACTATTAACGTGTATAATTCTGAATCACAAATGTCTTTTGCACATTTCTTTACATATAGGCCGTTTGCCGTGACCCGATATCATTCACTTTCATTAAGCATGTCGTGGAACTGAAATATTTTCACGGTAACTAACATTTTAGAACACGCTGAATTCAAATCCGAAAAGTTGCCGCTCCGTAGACCCGCAGTTTTTTCACCAATTGCATTTGTATTTTCAGTTCTTCGACGAACAAAAATAAACACGCGCCATTTTGAAATTAAATAACATCACTCAGAGTATGCCGTTTAACCCGTTTTTGCTCCCCAGTCTCCGATGCTCATGACCGAGTTAAGATTTACGGCAATGTTATTAAATTTGCTGCAAAACAAATACAGTCACGTGGTTTTAAAAATGGCTTGTCAGAGTGATTTTCAGTTTATTTGCCAGTAAAATCGCTAAAGAATGAGAAATAAAAGTTTAAATTATTTATTTGGCAGAGAAAAGCAATAAGTTAGGTGTTCTCTGTGTATATTATTTGAGTTTGTTTAAGGCTAATGGCCTATAGAAGAACAAACAAGTGATTAATAAGTGAACAATCATCAACCATGACGATTTATTCAGGTTAATAGCTCTCAGACACATATAAGGAAAGGATTAATTAAGGTCAGTCTGCTTGAAAACTCACAGTAAAATTGTTCCATATCAAGTTTGCTGTTTATGGGAATTATTGTTAGTCATAAGGTGTAAAGTAAATCATAGAAACTGTTATTCAAAAATTGATTTATCACCCCATGCCTATGAAATGTCAAGAAGGCCAACAGAACCATGAACATTTGCATAGTATAAATGATTATTATATCTGCATAACCTGCTGCTGACTTATTTATTCCGTGCTTTATTGCATCTTCAAGATTTAGACTGTGCTAGAATATACAGTATACACAAGAATATATAATAGGATATACAAATAAGACTCTGCATGAATAGATTGTGTCTAAAGTTGTATTAGGCTAAATGTTTTTTATTTGCATGTGGCTTTCCCCATTCAGGGCAGAGTACACAAATCTGAGCGCAGCCTGTCATTGATCACATTTAGCTCAACTGCATAGTAGAGCACCAGGTTAGTGACCTGGGTGTTTAACCTATTGCATGAGCACCAGCACTTTTCCACTTGACGAGTAAAATTGTCTGGCATTAGACAGAGTAGACTAATAAAGTAGGGTGCATTGGGGAGCAATGCAACTATTTTAAAGGGTTAAGATCCAAGCACGGCTGCCTGGGACTCATGTATTTTTCCTTATTTCTAACAGGTTATAAAACAAAACAAACAGCTTGTTTACTGTCACTTAGCTGGAAAAACCAGCATAACAACATAGAAAGTATTACTTTGTCAAATTGGGCAACAAAACATTTATGCTGTTGAATATATTTTGAACTCACAGTTTTGCTTCCACCCATAGCTACAATCATGGCAAAAATTCTGTGGACACTTACAGGTGTGAACGATTAAAGTATTACTGTTCACATACACATGTTGGCATCTTCATCTCCCCCATCAGTCACAGAGCTTTCGCCTAACCGATCTAGAAGCTTTTCAACAGTTAAAAAATGCTGTTTTTGCACATATGTTTGGGCAAGGCAGGTATTTGTATTTAAGTATTTTTGCACACACTGTCCACAATATACAATGTTTTTCCAGGATTGTAGGTGGATATTCTAATTTAGGGGCTGCTTATATGAGCGGCTACTGTAGATCTCAAAACCAGGCTGATCTCTGTCAGCCAAACATCTTTCCTTGTAATTGAAGGAATTAATACAAGTTTAGACCCAATCTATTCATGCAGAATCTTATTTGTATATCCTATTCCTATTATATATTCTTGTGTGTATACTGTATATTCTAGCACAGTCTAAATCTTGAAGATGCAATAAAGCATGGAATAAATAAGTCAGCAGCAGGTTATGCAGATATAATAATCATTTTATACTATGCAAATGTTCATGGTTTTGTTGGCCTTCCTGACATTTCATGGGGGTGATAAATCAATATTTGAATAACAGTTTCTATAAATTACTTTACACCTTATGATCAACAATAATTCCCATAAACAGCAAACTCGCTGATATGATTTTACTGTGAGTTTTCAAGCAGACTGGCCTTAATTCATCATTTCCTTATATATGTGTCTGGGAGCTGTTAAAAACCTGAATAAATCGTGATGGTTGTTCACTTAATCACTTGTTTGTTCTTCTATAGGCCATTAGCCTTAAACAAACGCAAAAAATATACACAGAGAACACCTACCTTATTGCTTTTCTCTGCCAAATAAATAATTTAAACTTTTATTTCTCATTCTTTAGCGATTTTACTGGCAAATAAACTGAAAATCACTCTGACAAGCCATTTTTAAAACCACGTGACTGTGTTTGTTTTGCAGCAAATTTAATAACATTGCTCTAAATCTTAACTCGGTCATGAGCATCGGAGACTGGGGAGCAAAAACGGGTTAAACGGCATACTCTGAGTGATGTTATTAAAATTTCAAAATGGCGCGTGTTTATTTTTGTTCGTCGAAGAACTGAAAATACAAATGCAATTTGTGAATAAACTGCGGGTCTACGGAGCGGCAACTTTTCGGATTTGAATTCAGCGTGTTTTAAAATGTTAGTTACCGTGAAAATATTTCAGTTCCACGACATGCTTAATGAAAATCGTTTTCTAGACATATTTTTAGGTCACGGCAAACGGCCTAATATCTTTCTTTGAGAACATGCATTGATAAAGTATTTTTTTTAAAATCCAGAAATGATTTTTCTTTTAATTTCGGATATGAAATGTAAAATGCATTAAAGAAATAAATTATCAGTTAAAAAACGGGGGTCACCGACTTTTTAGGGAATTGTGGCATTAAAACGTGAAATACAGGTAAATAAATATACTATAGACACAGAGAACCCTAGCTGTACTTTTGTATGCCTTTTTTGAAAACATTGATTTTAACGTAATTCTTTGCACGAATGTAACCAAAGATGTTTTGAAGTGACATAAAATTGTCATAAAATGATATTTTGTTTTAAACGGTACGTATAATAGATGAAATTATAAGTTATACTGCATGTCCGGCGCTTATGCTTAATGTGTGATTTGTACTTAGCTAGTTTGGACTTAAAATTGGCAGTGGACCCAACACCTTTCAAACCACAAAGCACACACTCAGCAAGATACACTACATTACTGGAAGTGCACGTCAAATATTTTAAAATAAGAAATATCCTTCCAGTGGCAGCTGCACGAAAGGAATTGCCAAAAATCAAAAAGTTCTTACAACTATCACAGCGCTTGGCATCACACTTGTAGCAGCCTTCACCTTCCAGTTTATTAGGCTTATATGGGTTATATAGTGCTAATAACTCCTTCATATTGGCATTACGCTTATACGAAACAAGAATAGCAATAAAACAAGCAAGTATTACTTGCTGCAACACAAAAAAGTCGTAACAAAACTTGTTTAATATTAAAAATCTAATATCCTGCGACTTTCATACATTTTTGATGAAAAAATAATTCAAAATGGCCGACATCAACAGTGAGATGAGAGAAAGCGAAATTGGTACGCCTTCTGTTCAAAGTGTGACCAAGGCAAAGTAAAAAAAGAAGAAAGAGGGTTATGTTTTTGAGAATGAAGAGGTTGAGTTTTTGATATATGCAGGGAGTAAGCGAGAAGTTTTGTTTGACAGCAAATATGTTTGATCAAATTATGTTTGATATTTTACTCAATCGCGAGCCAAAATTCGCAGCGAAGAGAAAAATGTACAATTACAACAAGGGTGATTTTGTAGCTCTCCGTGAATCTTTGAAACTCTTGCCTTTAACTGATTTTGTTCTCAGTGAGAATGATATTGACATCGCATGGTCCAAATGGAAGGATGCTTTCCTTGCTGCTGTTGATACATATATTCCGAGCAGGCAAACTTCACGAACCTACACTCCCTCCTATTTTACAAGAGAAATTATCCACATGTACTCCATCAGAAAGAATCTTTAAGGAAACGAGCAAGAAAGTCTAATTCGGCATTGCTATGGGAAAAATTTCGTGAACTACGTGGGTCAGCTAAACGCATGATCAAATCCAAAAAGCGTGATTATATAAGGAACCTTGCTAAAATACGATAAAATTTAATCCTAAACAATTTTGGAAATTTTTCAAATCGAAATCAAAATAAATCTACATTATACCTGATACCTGATGACCCTATAGCTGACTCGACATTTAAATCATCAAGTGCATAAATCGGATGCTTTAAACAAATTCTTTGCCTCTGTTTCTTCCTCGTCCCAAAAACCCATGTTTCCCTTCATCCAACACTGTCCTTGTAACTCCAACTGAGTTTTCTGATGTTTCGGTGGAAGACTGAGTTTGTCGTCTGCTAAATAATCTATCCACATCAAAAGCTACGGGTCCAGATGGAATATCGGCAAGATTAGTAAAGGAGTGTTTGGAAGTCCTTGCTTCCTGGAATGTTAACAAGGGGGGCTCTCCAAAAGTGTCACGAATTGGGGAGGGCGTACAATATGATATTTTGGAAATTCTAAATTTTGTTGGGGTTTATTCTAGTAATTGTGGGACAAACATTCAAAATTATTCTCATTAAAAACAACTGCCGTTTCCATAATTGCTATAACAGCCTAATATTTATTAACTGTAACATATATTTTGAAATATCTTCGGGAAAGCTCTTTAATAGCTGCTGTAGCCTCTATATAAAATCAACAAAACTGAAAACACTCAAGTGAAAATGCTCTGGACAGAGTTTAAATCAGCCAAAGAGGATCGGTACTTCAACAGCCAATTTGCTACGGCGCATAAACAATGCGATTAAGTAAAGATTACAAAAATCATTATCGTGTTAAATGATGACTGAAAATGAAACGCAATTCTAAACGCTATTCTCGTTTGTTGTTAAGATTATGCAACGTGCAAAAA